AGCTGAGCATGATGGCTCAGGGAGTAGCAGGTTTAACAGAAGCTAACACACCAGGAGTAAACCTGTACCCTTTTTTCCATCTTTCTGTCCTTAAGGATCCCGACTGGAGCCAGAGCTGTGACATAATGGGCAAAGGAACTGCCTCCAAGGCCAGCATCCCATATGGGTGTTGATTCAAATCCGAGCTGCTCCATTTGCAAGGCAGCTTTCTGCTAATGTGCCTGGGAAGGTAGCAGAGGATGGCCCAATTGCTTTGGCTCTTACAGCCATGTGAGAGACCCAGTAGAGGCTCCTGGTTCCCAGCTCCAGCCACTGCAGCCAATTGAGGAATGATCCACCCAATGCAACATTCTCTCTCTCCCTCTCTTTGCTTTTCAAATACACACACACACACACGTTATATATTATGTATTATGTATTACATATTATATATCTTATTCTTTTAAGGACTCTGATCAGAGCTTTCTGGGACACTTCCTGGGTCCACATGGATCCAAACAGCCTTGCTGGGGGACCCAGAAAGAGCCCTAACTCTTCGGGTCCACACATGCTCAGCTCATTCTCCCCCAGCAGGGCCAGAACATCTCTATCTTCCACTAAGAGACAGCACGCCCAGCCACAGCCTCGTCCCAACCCTGGCAGCCTTGACCTGGTGGCTCAGCTGGGCTGTGGGCAAAACTAAGTCTCCTTTGCTCAGGACCACAGAAGGTCGGCCATCAATGCCCACCAGCAACCCTGCATCTGTCCCCAGGGTGAGTGCCTCAAATAACCCACCTCTGTAGCCTGCCCACAGAGAGATCTGCTTGGAAGCTCCTTAAGTGGAGGGTGTAGGACGGCTGCTTGGTTGGACACAAGGCCCTTGGGGGTGGTGTGGGGTGCGGATGAGAGGCAGGCCCCAATCCAAGTCAAACACACATTTCCATACGCTAAAAGCCTGTTTGTGGGACAAGCAGTGAGAGAGAAGCAACTCCTGCAGCCAAGAAGACCAGGCGTGCTGGGCCCCGGCAAACAAAGGGTGAAGCTTTTAGGCAAGCAGCGGCCAGTGATCTCAACTTCCCCCAGTCCTAATGCTCCTGAAAGGCTCTTGCCCGCTCCCTGTAATTGGGCATCAGTAGTTAATGCAGTATTGACTGCATTACACGCTCCCGTGCCTCCCCTCGCTAATGCCAATTGCATCACCTTGTACAGTCACCGGCTTGCTTAGCCAATAGCCGTTAAAAGCAATCCAAATCATGAATCATATGGGAAACTTTTAGCAAGACACCGCCATCCAAGGAGACAATTTACAGTTGAGTTAATCTGGGTACATTAGTGAGACATGGATTCTGGACGACAGACCAATTTATGTTGTTTCCCTGTCTCTCCCCTGCCCTGTTCCGCCCCCACCCCCTGGTGCTCTGTGTGGGCAGATGAATGGAAGAGCAGGAAAGGGAGAGGAGCACCTGTTTCTTTCCTCAAGGCTGCAGGGGCCCAGGGCGGTTGGGGGAGACCCATCTTTATAGCCGCTCTGCCTGGCTGAGTTTGACAAGGAAGGGGAAGTGGCTGGGTATGCTGCTCAAGCCTGGTGAGGCCTCATTCCCAGCACACGCTAGCAATGGCCCCTGACACCAGGTGGGTGCCAGAGTTGGACCACCCCACCCTGACACCCAATCACCCTCACCAAGCCTCCGCCAGTCTTCTGCAGATGGCAGTGTCCAGTGAGCTCTGCCCTCTTGCCGAAAGGTTGGCACCAGCAGCATCAGGACCCCTTCTCTGCCTGCTTCAGGGTTGGGAGTGTCTGGGTCACTCTTCCCCAGGTGAAACAGGCCTCTGCAGCATAGAGCACGATGGGAATGTCCCTGCTGATGGCCAAGCAAGGACCAGTCAGCGCCGCCGAGCAGAGTCAAGCGCCTGCCTTCACGGATTCACCGAGTCAGCTGCAGCGGCTGTGCTCCTAGTGGTCATTAACAATTGAAGACTTCGCTGTCTGGTCCTCCGCAGCCCCGTGCTCCTTAGGCATTTTCACTCATGAACAAAAATGCTCTAGGAATTAAGACAGCTGTTCCATCCTGCAATGGGCCAGTTGCTTTCCAGGGTCACCCCAGCCTTCAAGCTAGGTTTCTGAAGAGGTAGTCAGTACCCAGAGTCGCCCTTCCCCAGCACGCACCTGGAAGGGCACCCAGACTCCTCACTCCGGGCTCTGCCTGACTCAAATACCTCTCCAAGGAGCCCAAGGCCTAATTTCCCAGGGTTCAGAGCAGGCATTCCTCAGAGACATTTCGTCTCCCCTAAAAGACCGCAGCCTGGTGCCAGCCCAAGCAGCAGGTGCCAGGAGAGGGGCCTGTTTCTCCGGGAAAGTTGGAGTTTGGCTCCATCTCCCTGACAGACAGACTCGGCAGCGTTGAGAAAGCCCGGACCCTGAGTTCCAGTAAAGCTGAGATGGCTAGGCCAAGAGCAAGCGTCCAAATGAAAGCAATTAATCTTAAAATCCGAAGTTTAACTGTTTGCAAAACAGATCTTTCCGTCTCTGTGGTGACCCTTCCCTGCTCGACCTAATGGATTACTTTATTAATAATGCACTGTGCTTAAAAGCAAAAAAAAAAAAAAAATTTTTTTTCTGACGATTCAATACTTCAGAAAGTCTCTTAAACCCGTTGCTACGGCAAAACGATTGATATTTTATTATCTTTCAGAAGTGCAACATGAAAGCCCTGCAGCCCAGCAGAGCGAGAGCTTTGGTCCTCGGCAGCTGGCAGCCCTGACTTCAACCGGAGGAGCCCCAGCCTCTCCCGGCAAGACGCTGTCGAATGGAGAAAAGGCATTGGGGGTGGTTAATAGGAACCCCGAGGTCCTGCTGCAGCCAGACAAAGGGTGCTGTGTGCAGCTCTAAGCAATGCACCCCTGGGGACCCAGGAAGCCAGCATCACCATCCAGCTCAGGAGCCCACCTGCTGGGGGGGGACCTGAAGTGTCCAAGTGCCCAGGAAGAAGGTGAATAGCTCCAGAGCCTCTCTCCCTGCCCTCGTTGAAAGCGCTGCTTTGCAGGCTTCCTGACTTGTGGAAAGGTCGAGCAGAGGGTCGACTTTTGAGCAGGACAACTACAAAGTGGGCAGGTCACAAAGCAGGTGGTTGCTTGGCATCCCACTCGCTTGCCTTCCCCGAGTTGGAAGAGATCCCAGAGTCCCGCGGGGTCCTCGGTGGTGGGTGCCATGTTGTTTAGGCCAGACAGGGTGGGTCCACGGGGGCATGTCAAGTTCTCCTTCATGGTTGGGAAACATGTGCCCAGGGGCAGGAGACAGGCCCAGTGACCTCCAACAAGCCTGAGGTACTCCTGGGTATTCGGACAGAGATCGAGCCGCAAGGCCTAGGGCATGGCGAGCTCAGGGTTTTGGGTGTGGAGAGCGAAGCATGCAGAATCACCCCAACTAAAGGATGTCATCCTGATTTCTACCTTCTCCCCAGAGTGGGAGGACCCCCGGAACCACACAAGGGCTCTGAGCACTGGCACCTTTGAGACCTTCATGTGTACCTAGAGGGATGGAATCCAGAGGTGGGCCCCGGGGACTCCCGGGTAACCTATGGCATTACCCATGGCATCAGGGATGAGAGGAGCTAAACCAAGGCCTCCTGCTTCCCTGTGTGGCTAGGTCCAGACCCCTCCTCCTCCTGTTCTTTATTAAATGAAACCACCCAGTTACTAATGACCCCCAAAGACTCTAGGGTGGAGGTCCGGGAAGGAACTGCAGACAGATGCCACAGCCAGCTTCCCCCCCCCACTCCTTTCTGTCCTCCCACGCATGTGTGCCTGCCCCCACAGGGCCAACCCCTTCCTTGCTAGATGTCTCAGAAGGTGAAACAAGTAGCCTGGGGCACCTGCACTTAGGACTCACCGTGTGACCTTGAGCCAGTCCTTTCACTTGACAATCTCACCCAGTCACTAAACCTCACTGACTCCCAGTAAGCAGAGGAGACAGGCCAGGCAAAGGTAGGTCAGGGCATAGCCACCAGAGTCACACTGACCCTCACTAAAGCCAGACCCTTTGGGTGGTCCCGGCCTGTGGCAGAGTCCAGGCGGTGGTGCCAACAGCCACCTGCAAATCTCCCCCGGGCACAAACAGGGCGGGGCTGGGGGACACTGCTCTAAAGTCACAGGACACGCAAGGACTTGCGCCCCAACGTGGCTGGGATCCCTACCTTCTAGGACACTACAGCATTTTCCAGCTGGCAAAAGCTTTGGGGTCTAGGGGACCACGCGCTAGGGTTCCCAGCAGCAGCGGCAGAAGTTCTGAGCTCTCGCTCCCGCAGAATGCTAGGGCCCACAGGAGCTCTTGACTCCAGTCCATGTCACTCCTGCCGTCGGCTCCCACAAGGACCAACGACCGTATACTTTGTTCCTCCGAGCCAAACTCCCGCCTCTGCACTCAGGGGACCAGCCGGCAAGGCAGCACAAGACAGAGCGCCCTTTCTCACCGACTTGGCGCGTGGGCAGCTGTCCCAGGGAGGGCCCAGCCGGCCGCACCCTGGCCCGCTGGGCACCCCGGCGCGCGCTAACCGCACTCCTGCGGGGGCCCCTCAGGCCCCAAAGCTCTCCGGTCCAATTCCTTCCTCTCCCCCACCCCCACTCCCCAGCTGCTGATTTGCTCGGCGCTCAGCGCCTCTCGGGTTACGCGGCCGGCGCGGGGGTGATGGCTGCGGTGAGACGAGCAGCCGCAGAGACGACTCTACGCGAACCTCCACGGCGCGCGGACGTCGCAGGCAACCGGAGCCTCCTCGCGACCCCGCGGCGCATCGCACGGCTCGGCGCGACCCTCCCGGGGGCTCGCCGCCCCCTTCACCTTCCCTCCGCCCAGTCCTGCTCGGACCCCCGCGCCCAGACCCGGCCCCGGCCCCGGCAGGTGTGCGCTCGGGTCCCCGCCTGCGCGCTCCCGTGCGCCGCGCCGGGGAGAGAGGGAGGGAGGGGACGGGGAAGCCAGGGGGTGCTGGGCTCCGGGACCACCACCCAGCCCCCAGCCCGCCACCTACCGTCCTCCTTGTCCAGCACCATCATCTCGGGCGCTCCGTGTCCAGCCGCAGCTCGGCTCGGCCGGGAGAAGGGCGCCGGTTCGGGGAGCGTTTCGGCGGGGCGGCCGATCCTCGAGCAGCGAGCGGACTCTAATTACCCGTTTGTCCGGCTCTTAACCTAGATTGCACTCAGCTAGAATTACATTCAGGAGTGAAGCACTTCGCAGATACAAAAGCAGTCTCACCTACTTTTGTGCCTCAGAATTGCAAGGAACTACGAACTGCAATTGAGAGAGAGAGGAGGGAGAGAAGGGAAAGAGAGGATCAGAGCCGTTCCTTTGATTCTCACCTTCTAAATGGCTCAATTTGCCCAGTATAATCTGTCTTAATGTAATTGCATTTGATAGCTCATAACCCTGGCTCTGGCAACGACACGGCTTTCAGCCTCATAAAGTGTTTTCCCCTCGGATTTAATCTGAATCTCAATCTAAAATTATATTCAAAGAGATGGGGGAATCTCGGCGGCCGTCTCCCGCTGCCTTTCTCCCTCAGTGTACGAGGTCTGCACTCCGACTACTGAATAAATGCACACATTTCCCGGGTCCCCCTCCCTCCCGGGTTAATGGGGAGTGGAGACGCGCGGCTGCCCGGCTCCGCAGCGCCACCTGGAGGCCTTCCGGCCGCAGCTCGCCGTGTAGAGGCTCCGCTCGGGACAGGGAGCCTGGTCTCTCCCCTCTGGGTCCTGGGTCCAGCGGGACAGGCCCTCTAACACCCCACCCCGTGTCTGTCACTCCCAGGCCCTCAGCTCTGCTTTCTGCCTCTTCGCCAACTTCCCGTGCCCTCCCTTCCTACGGGCTCTGCTTCGGGTGGTCTTGGTTGACTTCTGACTTTTCTTTGGCAAAGGTCACTCCTCTGGTTGCAGGTGACCAAGTGTCCCACAGCACTGCCCCTAGGTCACCCCGGCAGCCTCCCGCCGTGAGAGGGAGCATGTCTCCTGTCTCTCCAGAAAGCTCCGCTGGGCAGTGGAGCCTTTTCTCCATCCATGGGTATTTTATTGAGCATGTGTTATGTGCCAAGCACTAAGGCGCCAAGGGCAGAGCAGCGGATCTGATTGCTACTGCTGCTAGGGAGGTGACAGCTTCTGCCATGTCACTCAGCCAGGAAGGGAGACAGTCTCCAGGTCCTTTCTTCTTTGCAGAGCACCAAGACTGGTGTTCAGGCTGCCTACTCCAGGAAGGCCACCTACTTTTAAATCCCAAGGGCTTCCTCCCAGCCCCCCGCTAGACAGTACAGAGTTCCAGGGCATGGTGGAATGAATGATTTCCCCCCCCCCACTGCAGCCCAAGGAAGATCGCAGACCCTCGAGTGGGAAGTCGGAGGCCTCCTGGACACCATCACCTGGGAGAATTGGGCACGGAGCAAGAGGCTAAAAAGGCTGATATTCTCCCATTTCTGCCCATCACCAACTGCGCAGCTTGGCTGGGCGGTTTCTCACGGGGCCTCAGCTGCAGTGTCTGTGAAGTGGGAGCCCTCGTCTTCCCCCTCTCCAGGACTGCTGCGGGCTGTGGTGAAAACAGGTCCAATGTGCTCTGCCAACTGACACTCTGGACCAAGGGAGAGGGGGTGCTCTGGGGTACAGAGGGAGACCTGTGCCCCTGGACTTCAGGAGGCCCTAGGGCTTGGCCTGGGGTGGGAGTGGTCCCTGGCAGGGGAGGGGGGTCACGGGGGGGAGCTGGGCAGGCTGGGCAGGCCGGGCAGCCAGGCTTCTGCCAGCGAGAAGAGCGGCCGCTGCTAATGAGATGCCTCTTCGGCAGCTCTGAAGGTTTCGCTTTCCCCTTCATCTCCAATACTTAATCCTAATAGTCCTTGAGTATATTTGATGTTAAATATATCATTTTGCTCAGACTCGCCGCCCCTCGGGACTGCAAGCTTGATCTCTCTCCTGCCACTGCAGCTACAGCGATGCCCTCAAGGTCTGAGAATGGCTCGGGCGCAGCTGCCCCTGGCACATGTGCCTGGAACTGGTCCCACTCCCCTGCCTGCCTCAGCTTGGGGTAGGGTGGGCAGACAGGCTGGCAAGGGGCACTTGTTGTAGCAGACACCTGTGCCCCCAGGGGCCATCTACTCCATGGCGCCCACAGCCTACCTCCTCACCTCTGCTCACTTTCAGGGCTGAGCTGTGACCCCACAAGCTGGCACTCCATCGGGGCTAGGGCTGGTGGCTTTCCCAGTCTCACTCTTGGCCTTATGTTGTGCTTGGCACTCTTTGTGCCAGTGCCAGCTCAACCCAGGCCCCAGGGTACCCAATTAGTGGCCACACAGCTGGTGTCCCTTTGGGGTGTCAAGGCTCCTGCCTGAGGCCTGGGGTACTGTGCAGTGTGTCTCTTAGTGGCCAGGTGGGCGTGTCTGCCTGGGCCTAGGCTGCAGCGAAGGCTGCTGGCACTCACAGGTGGCCGCAGCGTGCTCCCTGTGATCTAAAGTGAGATGCCACTGCTGGGTTAACAGTCACTGGGCAAGACTCTGGGGTTTGGGCTCTCAGCCTGGAAGGGCTGCAGGCTAGACTGATGCCTCCCCCATCCTGTGCTGCCTCCTCCTCCCAGCCAGCCTAGAGGTAGCCCACCCCTGTGCTCACCCCCACCCTAACTGCCCTAGACCCAGGGATACACCCAAGGCTCCAGACTGCTGAGACAGCCCTGGGGCCAGTAAGAGGGAGTCCACCCCAACATTCCACAGGTGATGAGCAGTGTACTCACATTTGGGCAGGCCCTGGAAAAACCACAGGGAGATAAGGGGCAACTAACCAGTCCCCAAGATCACTGTGAGGAGAAAAGGGGTGGTCCTGGTCGCCTGACACAGTTCTGGGCAGGGTCCTGTGGTTTGTCTTTGGGTCTATCCAGAAAGTCCCAGGGAAGGGTTTCTGCATTGTGGGGTGGTGCCTGGGAGCTATGGGACTTGCTGCCTGAGGACCCAGGCAGACCAGATATTCCAAAACTTTCTGGTGGAGGCTGGCAAATGTGCCTCAGCCAGGGGGCTTTGCTCCCCACACTCCATGACTATCCCCAAGGTGGGATCACAAAATGGTTTTTGCAGCTAATACTCAGATATTCACGGTGACAAGGACTGCTTGTCTGGGAGCACCTGAGCTGTCAGGGCAGAGTGGTGGCCCTACAGACCCTGCAGAGCCATCAAGATGCCTGTTGCCCAAGTACAGTTGTCATCACACCCCCTGCAAGCAGCCAGGACCCTTGAACTTGGAACCAGCTGGAGTGCAGAAGTGTCCAGCAGGCCATCTTTCTCTGTCTGGTGTCTGCAAGAACCCAGGCCTTCTCCAAGGCGATAGTCAGGACAGTTAAGCCTCCCCTTTCCCGTGGTGGGGGAAGGAGGCCTGGGCCCAATCTTTACCCCAGGAAACAAAGGTCTTTCCTGTTTGAGGAAGACCACATCACAGTCATACCACAGTCCTGGAGAAGCTGTGACTGTGGGTTGACCAGCTGCCCAGAGGTGCCCTAGGATAGAGCACTCTCCTAGGCTGCAAGATTTTTAGTACTAAAATCCAGACATTGTTGACAAACTGTTCAAGGGCTCACTGCAGTGGGAGGTGGCAGGGTGGGAAGAGGGCCTAATGGGGCCAGAAAGGAAGGCTGGACAGCCAGTCTTTTTCCAGCCTCCTGCAGACACACTTCATCCTCCAAGCCCTGGGAAGGGGTCTCTGGCTAGGGAGGATGGAAATGTTCCCAAGAGGCTACTAGCGGGAGGGAGCTGAGCTCAAAGCTAAGTGAGTTTGGGGGTGTGAGTGGGCAGGGGCTCCTTGAGAAAAGGCACAAAGATTACTAACACAAAATGACCAACAGGGACCTAGCCAACTGAGGGGCCCCTCTCTCTCGGTGGAACCCCGAGTTTCTGGATTCTGTGGGCTACCCTTCTACTCCAGGTTGATGCAGGCCCAACCATCGTGGGGCCCAAACAAGGTCACCTATCCCAGGGCTGGGAAGTCCCAGACCTGAGGGTCCTCAGGCCTGCCCTGGACGCACTGCACCCTCGTCCCAGCGGGAGCGGCAGAAGGACCAGCAGACACTGAAAAGAGGCCCCAGGGGATTAACTCCTAACACCAACGCGCTTGCCAGGCGGTCAGAGCCAGTGAGAAAGTTGCCGGGCAGAAGCGCAGAGCTGCCGTAGTAGCCTGGGCCACTCCCCTGTCTCTCCGAAGCCACCCGAGGGGCTGCGCTGGGCACCCGCGCCGCCACCGCACTTCTGGGAAGCGGCCAACCAGCCCAAGAGCTCCGGGACGGGCGCCGGGGCGATGGACACCGCCGTGAACAGGATGGCCCGGACAGAGCTCGCCAGCCGCCCTGCGCCCCGCGCGCCCCACGCGCCCCACGCGCCCCGCGGCTCGGCACCGCGCGCCAGGCACCTACCGTCTTCCTGCTCCAACACCATGGTGGCCCGCAGACTCCAGCCGGGCACAGGCCCAGGACGCCGAGGGGTGTGCAGCACGGCACTCCTGCCAGCGCCCGCCTGCCCGCCTTACTCCCACCGAACCCGACGGGCCGGGTGGTGGGGGGACGGTTCGGTCTGGGTGGAGCCCAGAGCGCAGCCCCGTGGGCAAAGGGGCGCGGGAAGAGGGAGAAGGGCACGACGCGACTCCCGGCGGGCGCAGGGGGCGCAATAAGCCGGGCTGGGCTCACTGGAGCGGCGCAAGCAGCCGCTGCCTTGGCCGGGCCGGGCCGTTCCGGGGCAGAATGGAGTCCGAGCCGGAGCAGCGTGCTTCTTTCTCGCTGCCGCCCGCGCTCGCCTCAGCACAGTGAAGCCCGGATTTCCCAGGGCCCCTCAGATTCCCCTGTTAATTAAATCAATTCATTATGCTCAGATCTGATTAGCAGCCCTTCCCCCCCCCTTTGAATCAATTATTCAATACACAAACATAATTGCTTGGGCCAGAGGTGCCCGCCATTAGCTTATTTAACTCCAAGGACACTAATTACCCGCAGGGCACGGGAACTTTTCTCATTAATTCTGACAAAACACAAAAGCACAGCCAGAGTGTGTGCGTGCGAGGGCTGTGCGTGCGTGCGTGTGTGACTGCACGCCAGAGGGAGGGCCGTGTGGCTTGCTGGGCGCACCCTCCCTCAGCCTGGTGGCCGTGCGCCTCCGGGAGAGTGGCCTCGCCGCCTGGGACGGGGCGCTGGGGGGTAGGGGAAGGACCGTGGGAGTGCGGCGGACTGGGCGTGTCCCTGGGGCCTGGAGACCCCCCCTCCCCTGCACAGGAATGCATGTGACTGTGACAGTACCGCTGTGACCCCAGGGCCACTGTGGTCCGCGCCTGGGTAGCAACCCCCCTTTTACTTTCCCTGCCATTGCCGGCCGCAGGTTCAAACCTGGAGGAAAACTACTGACCAAAGCAAGGATCACCGAGGTGGGCTCGGTGTGGTTGATGCCGGAGCTTAGCCGGGCCGGTGCTCCCCAACCCCTACCCTGGCATCACCTGTCAGAGCTCTTCTGCTTGTTCCCCTCCCGTCCCCCAACGTCCCCCAATCTCCTATTGTA